AAAAAAAAAAAAAAAAAAAAAAAAATTACCATTGTGTCTAGAATTTTTTTTAAATTGCCAAAAAATATAAAAAAAAAAAAAAAAAAAAAACCTGAAAAATATTTACCCACCAAAACATCAAGAATTTATTTCCTCAAAAAAGTGGAAAATTTGAAAATTTGGAAAATATTTTCCTGGAAAAAATTTGCCTTTCAAACACTACAAAAGTTGGAAAATGGAAAAGGAATTTCATTTTCCATGGAAAATGTGTACTATCAAACGGGGTCTTAACATTTTAAATAACTTGGCCTTGTTTGAGAGTCATTAATTTCTTGTAAAGTATTATAGAATAGTAGATTGATAGAGAATGTATGGTTAAAAAATAAGGAAACTTTATTGGTTTGTGTGTAAGATATTTTATTATATGAATGTGTGGTAAAGAATGATACTGTGGAAAACAATTTAAAATTTTAAAGGATGGAAAACATGGGTTTTTATATACCACCATTTTGAGACACATTAATGGATAGAGGATAACGTTAAACACTATATAATTATCCAAATTTTATTTTTTCTTATATGTTAATAATATTCAATATACGTTTAATCATCCTATTCAAATCACCAGCAATGTTTATATTATTTCATACAATCTTATCGACGTATAAAATATATAATGCATGTTTGAGACTTATTATTTAGATAGAACTAAACATCGTTTATGGCACGGGTCCATGATAGTGTGGACTAAATTTCATCTCCCTCATTAATGGTCCATTTTCATACATTTAGGTATTGCTTGTGTAGGTAGACAATATCAATAAAAAACCAATGTGCAAACTGTCCTTTTGTATGTGTAGAGAAATAAGGATTTTGTTTCTATTATAGGCAATGGATTTAATATTCATGAGTATCTTTCATTGTGGTACACCAAATTAATATTTTTTTTCTGAAAAGGGATCGAGTGATAGAAATTTTGCTAATGGAACCACCCATATAATTTTTTTTATTAACGTACGAACCCGCAGTCGTTATCCGTCAGTGGAACCTCGACCACCCCAAAGGGGCGGAGGCCCGACCACTATGAGTGCGCACTAGGTAAACCTCTCTTCATGTGTAGTAGCCCGAAAATCACATAGGAGAGGTAAACTACATTAGACAAACCTGGTGCGACGGACTTGACCGGGAAAGTGTTGACAGGGGATTCGAACTCATGACATTTGATCTTCGCATTCACTTACTCCATCAACTTGACCACTTCCAAAGGGGGAACCACCCATATATTTTCTTTCATAAAGAGGAGGATTAGGGATGCATATATGTTATACATATATTTTTATGTTTTTGTGCCACCTTTGCAGTGCTTCTACCAATTATTCTCCTTCCTATAACCAATGATTGGTCTCTATCTCCGAGTTGATAAAATTGTTCCTTAATTATTTTTGAGTCCAATTTATTATATATTCGGCACGTAATAATGTCTTGTTTACTAAATAATAGATTAAAAAAATTTAATTACTCACAGTGTAATTTACCAAATATACTGTAAAAATTTTACATGAGACACAAATATACTGTAAGAATCAGTTACTATTATTAACAATGAGATACGTGATATATTCTTTGAATAGAAAACAAAATTAAGAAAAACTGTGATAAAAATAAAAAAAATGTTTCTTCAAGACATGGGTTCCAAGGAACTAGCTTTTTCACATCTATAAGTAATTTTTTATAGGTTAACTGTCTTATTTAAATTTTAATAGTTGCTTGTCACTAAAGCATAGAGCGAATTTGATAATATTTTAATTTGCAATTTTCCATTAGCTTTTGCAAATTTTATATTTACGTACAAGTAAAGGAAGGGGAAACTTTTCATTTTTCGATTTTTTTTTTCATTTCTAAAGCATGATAAATAAGGAAAAAAATTAGAAAGATTCGGCTCTTGTTTGAGAAAAGGGTTGAAACAATATTTCCTTGCCAGGAATGAAAAATAAAAAATAAAAAATAAATCAGAGGGATAACATTTCTCTCACTTTGACATAACATACTTTTGTGTGATTTGCAGAAGGGCTTATCTTATGCTGAAAGATTGTATATGACATGTCAAAGTTAAGGATAATGGAATCATGATAAATCTCTATGCAAAAAGTAATGACAAAAATGTTAAGAGAAAAAATAAGTGATTTGTGCAACCAATTAAAATATCAAATTGAAAAATAAGTTCTTTGTGTAATCAATTAAAATAACAAATTATATAACACAAAACTTGAGAAGAAAGTTAGAAAATATGGTTTAAGAGAGTCGTGAAAATTACTGTCATAAAGTCGTGTGACTTCCCCTTCAAGATTGTACTCTCAACACTGCTCAGTTTCAAGATAAAACTATTATCACAGTTGATTCTCCTTTTTATGAGCATAATCACAGGGAGGAAAAAAAGAAAAAACAAGACTTATCAAGTTGTCAAAACTATAAAAATATAGTATAAAATGTATTGAGGATATTTTTCAAGTTGTGTATCAAACATTGAGATATTTCCTCATTTTTATAGTGTAAAAATGAAGGAAAATTCTAGTTGTACAATCGAGATTGACAACCTCTCACATGTGTGAGGGGAGGGGTCCACATGCTTAAAAAATTAAAAAAAAAAAAAAGTTGGACCCCCCATGTGAGTGGTTATCAACCGAGGCTGTCAACCTTGGTTGTACACGTAGCATGGCTCAAAAATTAAACTCCCACATTCATGTAAATTATGTCATTCAAATATTTTAAAATTAAAATTTTAATTTTGTATTAAATCTGAAAATTATAACCAAAATTGAAAATTAAAACTAACTTTCATTGTGAAAGTTTAAAATTTTTTTTATGTTACAAAAATCCTATTCAATGTTCAAACTTTCAAAATAGGTAAATATATATACTATATATTGGCAAGTGACAACATTATATTGTGCAACATGTGTAGGTATCTTTCAAATTTGAACCTCATTTAGTAATATCAATTTCAATTTGAGGAAGTCATAATGGACTGTGTTTTGAATTAAATTCCTTTAACCAAACTTCAATTATCTCACACAATATCGATTTAGGCTCAATTACAGCGGATAATGTTATTAATGGCCATGGCTTCATAAAAATGTTTACATAATTGAGTTTTCCAAGGGTTCACATGGCTCACACCCTCCAAGAATTCCCACCTCAATACTCATTTATGGTGAAACCCTTCGTGATGTCAAAATTATTAGCACTATCACCATAGCTAGGGATAAGCACTAATAATATAATGCTATTACGATTCACTCAGTACATGTTGTTTCTACAACATTGAAGCTTATTCATGAGATCTTCAACAATAAAGTTTGGATTCCTTTTGGAGGTGACTCCCTGGTGGGTTTAAGCTAATCTCCCTTGATAATATATTTATATTCATCATGTACTA